GCGTTGATTTTTGTGGTCCCTTTAGCACAACGTATCGTATCCGTGGTAAGCCACCGTACAAGTCGTACGTGGCCTTGTTCGTCTGTTTTGCGTCCAAAGCGGTCCACTTAGAATTAGTGTCTAACCTAACCGCTGATGCGTTCTTGTTGGTATTTCAAAGGTTCGTGAGTCGTCGCGGGATTCCGGAGAAGGTGTGGTGCGACAACGCCACCAACTTCGTCGGTGCAGATCGGCACGTGGGAGAGTTCCGAGCCCGTCTGGAGGAGCAGGGGGCGGTATCGAAACATTCGCATCAAAAAAAGGATGCGAGTTTGCGTTCATACCGCCCAGAGCACCGCACTTCGGCGGACTATGGGAGGCAGGTGTGAAGTCTGCAAAGCACCTGTTCCTTCGGACGGTAGGCCAAGACCTCTTGACCGCGGAGGAGCTCGGAACTCTGCTCACCAGCGTGATCGTGTTTGGCATAATGGATTACTCTACAAGATAAAGAAATGGCTGCCTGCTCCATTCTATTTATTAATGAGATCCTACTTGTCTAAGAGATGCTTCTACGTGCAGCAGAGAAATGATACGTCAACACTACTTCGCATAAACGCAGGCGTTCCTCAAGGGAGTGTATTGGGACCAGTCCTTTATACACTATACACGGCAGATATGCCAGTAACAAACAACTGCACCATTGCAACATATGCTGACGATACAGCCATTCTGGCAACAAGCTCATCTAGAGACGAAGCATCTCATCTCTTGCAATGTGAGCTCAGTCTGATTGAGGCCTGGTTCCTTCGCTGGAAAATTAAAATCAACTCCCTAAAGTCTGTCCAAATAACTTTTACACTAAGACCAGGAAACTGTCCAAATGTCACACTTAACGGCTCAGAAATTCCACAAGACACCTGTGTGAAGTATCTTGGCATGCACCTCGACCGCAGACTAACATGGAAACACCACATAAAAGCGAAAAGACAACAACTCAAACTGAAAACACTGAAAATGTCCTGGTTACTAGGTAGAAAATCAGCAGCCACTTTGGGGAAAACAAAATTCTTCTCTACAAAGCCATTTTGAAGCCTGTTTGGACCTACGCTATCCAACTCTGGGGAACAGCTAGCAATTCAAATATTGAAATACTTCAGCGCTACCAATCAAAAATCTTGCGACAAATTGTTTACGCTCCATATTATGTAACCAATGCAAATATTCATAAAGATCTAAATATTCCAACTGTAAAAGAGGAGATAAAAAAATATAGTAAGAAATATACAGACAGACTTCACAATCATGTAAATAATTTAGCCCTAGGTCTATTAGACAATAGCTTAATATTCAGAAGACTCAAACGATTCCACATTCTTGATCTCCCTGATAGGTAAATTTAAGTAAACGAGAAATTAAATTAATAGCAGGTTTCACTGGAAATCTGCTATTCCTATTATGTAAATATTAGTGATAGAATTTACTTATTGTCATTAGACAGATTGTAAATAAAAATTAAATTAAAACAAAAAAAAAAAAAAAAAATTATTTGATAGTTATTTTATATATTTTTATTATTTCTATGGCAGCTATATGATATTGACGTCCGATTTTGATAAAATTTAAATCATAATTCTGAAATATTTAACCATTGCTATATGTCGAAGAACTAAACAAAAAATTAAAAAACAGAAAAGTTATAATTTTCATTCATTTATTTTTCCGATTGTTCCTATGGGAGCTATATGCTATAGTCGTCCGATTTTGATGAAATTTAAACCGTAAATCGGAAATATTTAACCATTACTAAATGTCGAAGAACTAAACAAAAAATTAAAAAACAGCAAAGTTATAATTTTTTTTCATTTATTTTTCCGATTGTTCCTATGGGAGCTATATGCTATAGTCGTCCGATCCGGCTCGTTCCGACTTATATACTACCTGCAATAAAAAAAAACAACTTTTGGGAAAGTTTCATGCAGATAGCATTAAAACTGATAGACTAGTTTGCATATAAACGGACGGACAGACGGACAGACGGACGGACAGACGGACAGAAGGACATGGCTAGATCGACTCGCCTAGTGATGCTGATCAAGTGTATATATACTTTATAGGGTCGAAGATGTCTCCTTCACTGCGTTGCAAACTTATGACTGAAATGATAATACCCTCTGCAAGGGTATAAAAATAAAACCAATGACATCAAGGCTTATAAATAATACATATGATATAATTATCATTAAACAAGAAAGGAAGCAAACTTCGGCAAGCCGAAGTTCATATACCCTTGCAGCTATTGCAAAAATTTAATATTTTTTAAAACATTAAAATTATGATTTACTTGCGTATATGTCTAAAAACATTGAAGCTATGATGATTTGCAGCTCAATTATTATATAAGTATTTTATATATTTGTATTATTTCTATGGGAGCTATATGATATACTCGTCCGATTTTGATGAAATTTAAACCGTAATTCTGAAATATTTAACCATTACTATATTTCGAAAAACTAAAAAAAAAATTAAAATTTAATTTATTTTTTCGATTGTTCCAATAGGAGCTATATCCTTTAGTCGTCCGATCCGGCTCGTTCCGACTTATATACTACCTGCAATAGAAAGACAACTTTTGGGAAAGTTTCATGCAGATAGCTTTTAAAACTGAGAGACTAGTTTGCGTAGAAACGGACGGACAGACGGACGGACAGACTGACAGACGGACAGACGGACATGGCTAGATCGACTCGCCTAGTGATGCTGATCAAGAATATAGAGATGTCTCCTTCACTGCGTTGTAAACTTCTGACTGAAATTATAATACCCTCTGCAAGGGTATAAAAACAACTAGAAGAAGTAAAAGCAGAAAATATTAAAAGTATTAAAGTTAAGAGGAATTAATATCCATACTGCTAGTGGGCATTTGGTTCTAGTAGTTATAATTATAACAATAATCGTAATAAGTTTAATTTATGTTAGACGTACTTGCAAGAATGATAAGAAACAAATTAATTAGAATTCGGGCTACCAATGAATACATTAAATTCAAATAAAGAAAGGCATTAAGGAACCCCGCAGAATGTTCACGGTTAAACATGGATAATTAGGTTACTGGTGCAACACCACTTCAAATTAAACTTGTGACCTAAGAAGTATGTTCCCCTTTCCACATGAATAGGATGGGATAACCCAAAGAATTGACATTTGACATTCACTTGTCCCCGAAATAGAATATACATATAAACTCCTAGAATTAACCTAGAATTGGTTATACATAAGAACTAGTACATAAGTGAAAAAGTGTATAAAAGACGCGATGAGCGCCAAATAAAGTTCAGTTCCTAACGAAATACTGTTGTGTTTTAGTCAGGGACAGGGTCCATGACAACAATTTAGAAAATCCATTGAGTATCAAGATGCGGCCAATAAACTGGGTTTTAGGTTTAGCAATACCCTATATTGGAGCAAACATATAACTATATATAAATACGGGTAGAACCTTTTGGCTTTTGGGGCAACTTTCTATGTCACAACTTGCCTTCCCATTTATTTCGAACCTTAATTGCAAAAAGTAACCTTATTTAAACTCTTAGCTACGTTGTTGAAGTATCTGGGGACTGGTATGAATAAATTAAGTGTTGCTTTTAATACTATTGCTCGTCAGGACAATTTAAAGTTAAGCATATGAATATATATTCTATTTTTACATTAAGTTGTTATTAATTATTCTGATTTGACTAGCACGGTAAATGTAAGATTTGAACTAGATATGGATTATAATAAACAATTTCATAAAAGAAAACGGAGGAATGTTATGTAATGGCTTTACATTTTATTGTTTTGTTATTTTGTTTATTTTTTCAGTAGGTTGCGATTTAAAGTAAAACGGCGTAGTACTGACGAAGTGAAACTTTAGGCCTATTTTTCCATGTATGCTATTTCTGGATTGCGTGAGCATCCTTTCGGCCAAACCAACCAACCGTTTGCTCTAAAACATGTTTCCACATAAATCAACAAACCATCGAAAAATAGAACAAAAAACATTTTTTTTTAGCACATATCGAATTTATTCTATTTTTAAGAGCTGCAAGAACTAAAAAAGGTCAAAATTAAAGAAAGAGCTTCGTTATTAACAGAGGAATTCTATTATTTTTCAAACGCAGTACGTGGGTAAAAATCATATGGAACAAAATTGTCCACATTAAAACAAGAAGAATGTCACCTAAAACCAGGCAATGTAGGGGCGTCATTACCAGTGGTGCCAACTCGATAAATATTCGGTATTTCCAACCAAAACCAAATTTAAAAACTATGTGCTATATCTTAAGCTTTAACAAGAATACAAGGCGATATACTCAATTGCCTGCATTGATCTTAAGTGGTTCTATTACCCGTTACTCAGGTAGTCAATAAATATTAATCTGACAGATGGCGCCAGCAAAATGTGTACTTATTCGTTGAAAAACGGTTTTTACCCGTCTTTATGTCAATTTTATTTTTACTCCAGATCTGCTTAACCGATTTTGGTCATCGATACCTTAAATTACTAAAAATAGATAATTCTTCAACTTTCCAATACATTTCCTTAAATAGATGCAGAGCTCGACAAAGTTTGAACATTCGCGAAGTTAACGAGCTATTAATTTCAACAATCCGCCGTTATGCCGCTAATATACGGATTATACTGCCAGTTCGGTGATGTGGAGAGACAGAGTGAGAGAAGTGTTTTGCGGAGGTGGAGGTGCAGCACGCTCTTGGCTTCTAGTGTTGACAATGCAGGCGCCAGATGGTTCATTTAAGCCCCTATTTTTTTGTGGGAGTCTACTTTGTTTTAAATTTAATAACTGAGTGACAAGTATTTAGTAACAATTATTTTTATAACATTTTTTTATTTCAGTAAAATAATATTATATAAAATGTAATATAATGTGCATACAAATATATTTAGCCTCCTGAATACATATATCCATAGCAACGACTATATTATTTTTATAAGACATTCAAAAAATATACGTTCATACATCCATAGCAACCCCTTTATTATTTTTATTAAACATTTTTGACATTCAAAACATATACGTTACACTTAGTACGAGAAAAATCGTATTTATATTTTCGAGTTCAAAATATTTGTTGAATTAAAAAAATGTCTGATATTAAGGACATTGATTCGTGTGACTTTGCCAATATTTCGGACCTGGATCCTGGCTCAGCCCTTGAACCAGAGCAATTGGCCCTACTTACCCCGAATCATCATCTCCTCCGCAAGTTTCAAAAGTCTTTAAAGGAGCATTTATTACGTTCTAAACGTGACATAGAAAATGAAATTGCAGAAGTAAAATATCAGGTTAAACTGAAAGAGCAACGACGGGAAGAACAAGGATTGGCTTTATATGAAATGCAGCAAAAAATGGAATTTCAAGAAGAACAAATTCAAGATCTATCTAAAGTAATGGAAAAACATTTTAAAAACCGCCAAGTAGAAGAAATTAATGGAAATGCTTTGAAAAACGAATTCGCGGAAAAAATTAAGCTAACCAAGTCTCAAAAAACACTTTATCATGCAAGAATGGCTGAACTCGAAGATATACAAAGCTTAGGAAGTAATATTAAAAAATGGGCGTATGAAGTAGAGGATGAAGTGAAAAACGCAAAGCGCGTTGTTAGCAGGGACGCACAACTGCAAAATCAGCTATCTCAGGAAAAACGAAAGTCAGATATACTATTTTACCGGCTGGACATGGAAGTTAAAAAAAGAGAGGCAGAGTTGCTTTCGATTTGCCAAGAAGAAGCTGCAATGTCAGAAGTTGTCAACATTTTAAATATGAGCATTGCTAATGCTAATACAGACTTAGAGGTTTTGCAAAATGAGCATAAGCGTCTTACACATGCATGGAGCGAGGTCATTATAGCCATTAAATTGAGGGACAACATTTTATTTCAAGTTCAAGATACTATGAGGTAAGGATCGATATAAACTAGTGAGCTAGTAAACATTTCAATATTATATTTTATCAGAAAACACCGGGAGTCAATAAAGTTAAATTTGGCTGGAACAGAAGCTATTAAAAAACAAATCGGAAAGGAAATGGAACTAAATAAAAAACTGGAGTCATTTAGGCAACGACTGGCCGATGATACTTATTTATTAAGACGGGACTGTAAGTAATTCGCTATTTTTAGTACAAAAACCATCTTCCAATAAAATGATATTGGGCTGTTCTTGCGAAAAACCTCGACCTCCAATCGCATTCAAATTTGTAGGATCCATTACGCTGGCGCCAAGACAGATTTCTTTTAAAAAGAACTTTAAAAATCGTTGTTGTTCGCTTTTGCCATTATCTGCTCTATATAACTCTAAATATAATTCAATCGAAAGTAGCAGATTTAGTATCCTTAATACTATCAAACAAAAAGACTTATTGCAGCTATTGGATAAATTAAATATTTTTTTTAACATCTAAATCTAAAACATTTTAAGCATATGCGTGTATGCTTAAAAACATTAAAGCTATGATGATTTTCACCTCAATTATTTGATCGTTCGTATGGCAGCTATATGATATCGTTTTTCGATTCAAATAAAATTAATTGCGTTAATCTAAACTATTATCTCTTAACTATGTCCAAAAGAATGAACCAAAATTTAAAATTAGAGAAAATACATTTTTTTAATATTTTAATTGTTTTAATGGGCGCTGTTGAAATAGTCGTCCGATTTTAATTTTTGTTTAGATATTAACCGTAATTCCAAAATAATACATCATCACTAAATATCGAAGTGCTTATTAAAATGTTTAAAAATCAGTTCTAATTTTTTTATTTCTGTCTCCGATTGTTCCTTTGGGAGCCATATATTTTCGTCCAATCCGGCTAATTCCGACTTATGTACTACCTGCAACAGGAAGATAAATTTTCGATAAGTTTTATGCAGGTAGCTTTAAAACTGAGAGACTACATACAGACGGACTTGGCTAGATCGATTGTCCTAGTCGGAAATTTTTGTTTCACAGCGTTGCAAACTGCTGACTATAATTATAAAGCCCTTTACTAGGGTATAAAAAGTTTAAACTATCGCAACAAATGTGCCAACACTGTCTCATAATAGCTCAAACTCTTTTAATCTGCTGTTATTTTTGTTTTGTTTCAACTGGCCTCTTCAGGAATATCTTTTAAACATAGAGCAAAACATTGTATTGGTTTGGAGTGCGCTGCAGTGTGAGAAACTTGCAGTGTTGAGACAGGTACCATTTTTTTTTACCTAGGTAAGGTAAAAGGTAGTTGCAAATATTTGTACCTAGGTAAGGTAAAAGGTATGCAATTTCTTCTGTACCTAGGTAAAGGTAAAAGGTAAAAAATACAACTTAAAAATTTTTTAAATTTGAAATTTTTATTATCAGTTTCTTTTTCTGAGATACAAAGATATAAACATAAGTCACATTGGTTTCTTTTTTTGAGATCACCGGAAATTTTCACTTCTATTTTTGAATTTTTTCGCTTTCAAAGCTTCATACGAAGAATAACTGTTCGGGTGAACCCTCTGAAAAAAAGTTTCATAATGTTTTAATGTCTTCATTATACTTCTTTAATTTAAACATTATTATGTGCTTAGTCATACATATATTTATAAAAATGTGGTTTAATAAAAAAAATAGTTTTACATTTTTTGGTGGAAAATAAAAAATAAAAATAAAGAATGACCACCCCATCAATGTCCATAAAATTATGACCATATGTATGTATTTATGTATCCGTCAATTTCTTATTAAAATGCACTTTTAGATTATTTAAACTTATGGAAAATAATTTTCGCGCGAAAAATGCATGTGCATAGATATGCACATTTACATTTAAACATACACTCCAATAAGCACATATTCATACATATATGATGCATACATAAATATGTGCTTGTTCACATACTCAAATAATTCGAAGGTGCATTAAAAAAATTGCGGGAATCGTGCTGCTTCATGCTATGATTGTTTAAATGTTTTAATGAAATAGGCACAATCTATACATAAATACATACATATGGTCATATTCACATTGATGACTGCACCACATAAATGTATGAATAAGCACATATGTATATACATATGTTTAAAAGCACATGTGCATGTCTACGCACATGCATTTTTTCGCGCGAAAATTAATTTATCAATTCACTTCACAGTTCACTTACCTTCAGATGTTTATGCAAGTTGCCGGTTGACTTTTCATCAAATTTGATAGTTTTGTTCACACACAGTTTGCACTTCCCGTCCGGTAAAAAGAAAGTAGCATTTAAAATTAATGTTAGCTCCTTTTTTTCTGCGTCTTCTTTGCTCATTTTAAGATTTGTTGTGACGTTTTCTAGGAACCAATGTCATCGACAAAAGTGCACTGTTTAGGTAGCAACGGCATTGCTAATTTAGTATTATACCAAATTCCAACGAAAAATATTTTTGCATTCTTACCATAAAGACCTCTGTGAGTAAGTGGTGGAACTATCATATTTCTAAGTTTTCGATTGCATTGCTGTGAAGCAGGGCTATTTCTAATATGCACAATATTTACATACACGTATGGAAGTACCTAAATACCTTACATAGCTAAAACTTAAGGTAAACGAAAATTCGTACCTAGGTAAGGTAAAAGGTAGCCAAATATTTTTTTACCTAGGTAAGGTAAAAGATACCGAAAAAAATTACCTAGGTACATACCTAGGTACAAGTACCTAGATACACCCCAACACTGGAAACTTGCAGGTGTGGTTTTGAAACAAAAAACTAAAAACTATTTTAAACCAGAAAGGAAGCAAACTTCGGTAAGCCGAAGTTCTTATACCCTTGCAGCTATTGCAAAAATTAAATATTTTTGCAAACAATAAAATTATGATTTACTTGCGTATATATTTAAAAACATTTACATTGCAGCTATATGATATCGTTTTCTGATTTTGTTAAAATTAAAAGCGTAATTCTGAACTGTCAAATTATAAATAAGTCAAAAAATGTTGTTTTTAAATTACAAAATGGAAAAGTTACATTTTAAAAAAATTTTCATTTTTATACCCTTGCAGAGGGTATTATAATTTTAGTCAGAAGCTTGCAACGCAGTGAAGGAGACATTTCCGACTCTATTAAGTATGTATATTCTTGATCAGCACCACTAGACCAGTCGATCTAGTCATGTCCGTCTGTCCGACCGTCTGCCCGACCGTCTGTCCGTCTGTCCGTCCGTTTATATGCAAACTAGTCTCTCAGTTTTAAAGCTATCTGCATGAAACTTTCCCAAAAGTTGTCCTTCTATTGCAGGTAGTATATAAGTCGGAACGAAAAATGAAATGAAAAAAAATTATAACTTTGCTGCTTTTTAATTTTTTTTATTTATTCGACATATAGTTATGGTTAAATATTTTAGAATTACGGTTTAAATTTTATCAAAATCGGACGACAATATCATATAGCTGCCATAGAAATAATAAAAATAATTATTGAGCTGCAAATCATCATAGCTTCAATGTTTTTAGACATAAATTTTCATGTTTTCAAAAATATATTAATTGTTAACCAACTCGAGGTCAGGATGTTGAAAAATTAACACAATTTTTTAATTTTGGTTATTTGTCAATATAGCTCGGATGCTCTGCGTCTTCAGGACAACTATAAAATAATAACAACGATTTTAATATTCTTAACAAACAGAAAACAATTACATTTGACAAATTTAATTAACACGTCTGCGTCCGGTGACGTGGAGTTGTTAACTAATTTTTCTTCCCTAGTAAATGTCTATATAAATGAGCTCAATTGTCAGTGTTCGTTTTGTAGTTCATCCGTAGTCTGTAGGTGTTTTTATGATATGTTGCAATTCTATGGTGAATCGTTCTTGTGATTAGATACTCGCCTCTTCGATGTTCGGAGAGTGATTATTCTTGGCACAGTGGGGCGTGAGTGCTGTTTTTTGGGCTTTCGTATGGTGTCTAGCTTTGAAGTCCGATTTATGATGGGCAAGTCTAGTTTTTAATTTCGATTTTGTTGTTCCTATATATATCACGTTGCTTATTTCGTTTCATCAAAAACAAAGCTCCGGTCGCGTGTGGACGTGTATTCTTAACGCTCCGGAAAAACAAATAGTTACTCAGTCGAAAACGTTCGAAAAAATTTATAAACGCGAAGTTTTGCGACGACATTTTAATATTGACCTCAGACAAAGGTAACAAGACGGTAGCTATGAACAAAGATGACTACAATGAAAAAATAAAGGACATATTTAAGGATATGAACACATACAGGACATTAAGGAAAGACCGCATGTCTTGACTACAAACAAAATATAACGAAATATTGGACAAACTATTGAAAATTGAACTTATCTCAAGGATCGAAAGAAATAAGTTGACAACCACCACAGCATTACTACAACTAATGTATGGACTACCCAATATTTATAAAGAAGGAACCCCTCTGCGGCCAATCTGCTCCTCCATGGCATCACCATCCTATGCACTATGCAAATACATAAAAAACATAACAATAGACTCCAAATATAACATCAAAAATTCCGAAGAATTCAAAGCCAATATCAACAACACATATATTGGCGACGATGAAAGATTCATTTCATTTAACGTAGTTTCATTATTTCCGAGAATACCGACAGATCTAGCCCTGGATATAATTAAAAACAAATGGACAATAAAACAAAAACACAGTAAAATATCGCAAACAATATTTATGGACATAATAAAATTTTGTATTCAAGGAAAAAGATATTTCAAATTTGAAAACAATTTTTACACACAATTAAAAGGAATGCCTATGGGATCGCCAGTCTCTCCGTTCATTGCAGATATTGTAATGGAAACTCTCCTGGACAACACGTTAAAAAAAAACAAAGACGACCTCCAAGATTACTGACAAAATACGTAGATGCCCTGTTCGCAATCATTCAAGAGGATGGCATTAAAAGTACACTGACCATGCTCAACTCTTTTGCCAATAATATAAAATTTACAATGGAATTAGAAGAAAACGATCAATTAGCCTTTTTGGACTCAGTATTGATTGGACGTGGAGACAGATTAAAATTAAAATGGTACAAAAAAACCAAATACAGCTAGAAGCTGTATACAGAGAATGCTCTAAATTTTTACATATTTGTTTTATGTATTGAATCTTCTCTGAATTGAGACTAAAAATAAGTAATATAAAATCTTAAATTAAGACTATATCTGACAGTCAAGATGACTGACGCGAGATGAAAGGGCTCTAATAACTACTGCTGAGCTGGAAGGTCATTTCGTTGTAATCGGGTCCGGTTGGAAACCCTGGCTAGGCCCCTGGCAAGCTGGTTTGGATGAGAAGTTAGTTTGGTGTGGTAGGACGCCTTTTGTTTTGAAATTTCATCTTTTACGGATAGAATGCCAAGATCTCTGTGGATGTTGTCGTTCCGAACATACCAAGGTGCCCCAG